TCAAGATTAATATTTAGTTTTTTGATTAGTGTTATCGAGGGCAAACGGTAAACATACTGTAGGATTTCTCGGGCTATTGTAGGATTAAGCATCATTTTAAAAATTAGCATCTAGGAAAATCTCAATATAATGCCTTCGGAATTAGCATGTAGAAACGACTGAGATTCAAGGCTAGAGCTGTGGCTTCCCTGAAGGAACTGACTGAATGGAAAGAATTGAATAGTGGACATACCATACCGTGGGCCCCATAGACCAAAATGAAGTTCTTCGTGGGTTCCACCGTGTGTCGATGCTTTCGTATATTTTTTGTGCCTGTAAAAGTCGTCCCTTTCAATTACTGCGTGTACCAAAATTATAGGTCTTCATAACTTTGAGCATGGCAACAGGATCGCTCAGCTTTATTTTCATTCATATCAATTCTGGAGAAGTTGTTCAAGTTTGTCGATATTCTGATTTCTCATCCATGCTATATTTTTATTTATAAATTTGTTATAATGAGTAACATTGTTGCAAGTGCAACTATAAACATCACATCTATTTTTTTAGGCATGGATGCATGGGGAGCTTATGTGTGACTGAAACGGTAGTGAAGATTGTAACATGTCCGCAGCCGTGCCTTCCACCATGTCTACCGCCGTGTCCATCAGTACCTTCTCGGCTACCTCTTCCTCCACCTTTAATTCCACCTCCAGTTCCTCCTCCTCCAATACCACCTCCACCTCCACCTCCACCACCTCAACTACCGACTATGGTTTGTTGCTGTGGAATGATTTGTTGAGTAAGCAACTAAGTGCTTAAAATGCTTGACTTCATCACACTTCTGTGTTGTTCATGAAATTAGGGAGATGAAACATTTTGAATTGAAGATCATCTGGTGTGAGTTACATAAGATCTTAATCTTGCTCAACTGTACATTTAATTTCGTATGATTGAAAGGGTTTTCGAAAGAAGATTAGAAACAGAGGCCCTGTTTGGAGTTTGACATCGAGAATACACATTCTTGACCAGATTTAGTTTTGGAGTTATGCCACAACAATGTTCTTCTGTAAGATCACATAAATAAGAAATAAGAAAAGACTGATGTAATGACGGAATCTGTATAATCTTTAAAGCAAATTTTTTCCTGTCGCAAAGACGGGTCTGCATTGCATATTCTTCCAAGCATCACTTGCACTGCTGTGAATAGTGAATTTCTAAAGCAGGAGTACCAAAGTTGCTAGGAGTCAATGAAATTTCTTTAGCAACAAACCTAGGAAAATCTAAAATAAATATGTAAGTGGATAATTGTATCTCTTTACCCTTATTCTGAATAAAGTGTTCCACAACAAAAAGGAAAATTTGGTAAGACATAGAATGAGTAACGCGAAATTCTTCCAACAACCTGATAAGTGATACTGTAGGAAAGTTTTCATCTACTAAGCGAGTTAGAACTAATGTGCACTTACAGTCAAAGTTTCGCTTGTAAATATAAACCGATGTGAACTTTATGTGTTCTACGTGCTTGCTTAACTATCTTATCTTTCTATGTTTTTATGAACTTCCGTGTAAAATCTTATAGTTTTTGATATTATAGGTAAAATAGTCTATGGTTTGATATGCACGAGAATCCTCAGCCCATGCTCAAGCCAACTATTTGTTAGGGAAGGTGATGGTATCATCTGATGGTTCAGCGAGAATGTAATAGATAACTGCCTTGAAAGACGGTCTATAACAACGATAAATGATGTATCCGTTTTGGAAGAATACACTAAAACTCTTGAAAATAAGGCCAGGATTGGACTGAACTCAGAGCTTTTGGTGCAATGGACAGATTGGTGTCTCAAATCTCCTGGCCAAAATTGTTGATTCGAGATTCAATAAAAATTCTACCTTATTTTTCTTATCATTCGACTTGTCGTCTTCTGCCCATCACTTTTCAAACATCCTCGACCTGTATTTCAGGCAAAGGAACTGTAAGGAGAAGGGTTTTCTTAGGCGTCCCGACTAGTAAAGGTTTGCGTAAACGAAGTCAATGCTCACATATTTGCTCCCGCAAAAACGATAGGACGCATTCATGCTTGCCAATCTAAGAGTATTATTACAACTTTTGATCAGAAAGACTTCATCAAAACATATGAAATGGTATGAAACATGTTCTCCACACTAAGGATGGATAAACGCGTTGTTTGACTTAGACCTAGAGATGTCTTTTACCACCTTGTACATAGATAAAGAACTTAATGTGCAGGTACCGTTAAAACAGAAATCAAAATATGCAACGAAAATCACAGTAGCGAACATGAAGTCACCAGTGGAAAAAATGGAGTGTGAAAAAACCAGCCGAGAAATTATGCGTTGTGAATAAGAATATTATTCACAGAGATACATCGCCATCGTGATCATGCTTCATTAGTGGGGATGAGCGTCAATAAGTCCCGGTCGACCATCTACACCG